GGACTGACAAAGTCCTCTGGATGAAACATTTCTTACTTTTAAAAACTGGTCCAGATGACACGATTTAACCTTTTTTGTTGTGTATGCTGGTTTTAGCCAGGCTGACCTCTCAATACAGCAGTGGGTTCAAAACACTGAAGCTCATCTTTTAATTGAACAAAAAAGTGTGAACATATCTCCCTGCAGCTGGCCTTCCTTCATTAGCTCCCTGTTCATTTTAGATTTTATTTTTTGTTTGTTTTATTGAGGTTTTCAATTACACCTCCTACAACAGTGGCCAATCCTGGTCCTTAAGGGCCACTTTCCTGCATGTTTTAGAGGTTTCTCTGGTCCAACATACTTAATTTGAATAAATGAGTGATTAACAGGCTTCTGCAGAACTTGAAGAGGTAATTCCATCACTGAATCAGGTGCGGTGGAGCAGGGAAATTTCTAAAACATGCAGGACAGTCGTCCTTGAGGTCCTGGACTGGACACCCCCATCCTAAACGGTAGCGTTGTAGTACTCGAGACCGGTCTTGGTCTTGAGACCGGTCTTAAGACCACTTTTTGATGGTCTTGGTCTCGTCTTGGACTCGAACACATTTGGTCTCGGTCTCGGACATTGAGGACCCGGGATTTTATTTCAAGATCAGTCAAGACCACAACTGTGGAAATATCACTAAATTGCCAGAATATTGTCCAGTTTATTTGTTAACATCTTTGTTTTTATTGGATGCAAAATGTACTGATTCAAATCCAAGCGATAACGTGACTCATTGCTAAATACATGTTTTTGTTACCGCTGTCACGCCCACCCCCTCTCACTCGCACATGGTTCTGTACCAACAGAACAATACAGACAACAGAACGTAATGTTGCAACCAGGAGTGAAAGTAAGCCGGTACGGATAATCTATGAAAAGATTGAGCTCCAAGACTCGAGGTCTTGGTCTCGACTTGGTCTCGCCCTCCCTCGGCTTTGGTCTTGACTTGGTCTCGGACCCCAAAAGTCTTGGTCTTGTCTCGGTACACTCTGGTTTTGGTCTTGACTTGGTCTCAGGTTAGGTGGTTTTGACTACAACACTACTAAACGGTGGAACCAGCAGCCTGTCATATCAGACCCACCTCAAGTCTTGGTGTTTTAACGTTTCTTCTTTTAATACAGCATGAGAGCTAATATTTTAGCATAATATTGATGTTTTTTTTAATGTCTCGTCATGTTTAATTTAGTTTTATTTTTGATTTTTAAAGTCTCTTGTGTTTGGTATTTTCTTTTGACTATTTATTATTGGTTTGAGTCCAGCACTTTGGCCATTGTCAGTTGTTTCTAACTGTGCTATTTCTATATTGAATTGATTTATTCATTCAACCTTTATTTAGACAGGTAAATCCCATTGAGCCTCGAGGACTCATTTACAAGAGAGACCTGATTTCAACAAATCAGTATTGTTTATACTGGCAGCAGGTCAGTAAGAGAACTAAAGAGCATTTTAGAAAGGCTGAGTCTCTCAGAAAGAAAAGGTGGGTAGAGGTTCACCAGCTGGAGAAAAACTGCATCAGTGCAAACATTTCTGAATAATGTTCCTCAGCATAATTAATTAAGAAGAATTTGAATAACTCATCATATACAGTTCATAATATCATCCAAAGATTTTAAGAATTTAGAGAAATCTTTGGGTTCAATGAATAAGGCTGAAAGTCAAGACTGGATGTCCATCTTCAGGCCCTCAAGCAGCGCTGCATTAAACACAGCTCTGATTCTGTCCACTGCATGGACTCAGGAACACGTCCTCTAATTATTTTCTGCAAATACAGTTTTCCATATCTTCCACAAATACTGGTTAAAGTTCTATCATGAAAAGAAGAGACCAGATGTGAATAACATCCAGAAACTGTTTTCTTCTCTGGACAAAAGCTCGTTTAAAACAAACTGAGGCAAAGTGAAGAACTGTGTTTGGAAACCACAAACTTCTTCTGTAGAAAGAGAGGAACCATCTGACCTGTTAGCAACACCCAGTTCAAAAGCCTGCTTCTCTGATGGTATGGAGGTGCATTACTGCATATAGCATGGGTGACTTACACATCTGGAAAGGCAGCATCAAACCAAAACAGTATATCCAGACTTTAGAACAATATGGTCCCTCCAGCATAAATCCAGCCAAGATCCAGAATTGTTGAACCCAACATCAAACAAGAATGGGACAACATTCCTCTCTAAAAACCAGCAGCTAGTCTCTTCAGTTCCCAGATGTTTAGACTTTTGTTTCAGAAGGGATGCTTCAGAGTGATAAACAGGGCTCTGCCCTTCTGTGTTGTTCCCATAAAATTCAAAATACCCTACGTTTTCCAAAAAATGGCACAATTTCTTATTTTCAAAATTAATAGGTTTATTATCTTTTTGAATAAAAAAATGGGTTGAGATTTGCAAGTCATCGCATTCAGTTTTTATTTACATTTTACACAACCTCCCAACTTTTTTGGGAAATTGTGGTTATATGTATGTACCTTGATGAAAAAACAGGAGTGAGAGAAGTCAGTCAACCCACAAATTAAAATACCTTCCCTGTGTGGTTTTAGTTAACTGGCTTGTGTGCATGACATCACTTTTTATTAGACTGCAATGTAAGAGATCACCTTACTATGCACACTGCTTACACAATCTGCATCTTTGACAGCAACCAAGAGCTTTCTACTCCCTTAAGTGACCAAGACTTTTGAAGAAACAGGTTCGCAAGTCTTTAATGCGCCACTTCTGTGTTTATAGGGTGAAAGTAATTCACAGTGAAGCCAGCGTCTAGTCACACTGAAGGAGGCCTCAAATACAGCCTCACATACAATGGGAGGATGAGTGGGAGTCAAACATAAATAAAAAAGTGCTCAATTTACAAAGAGCGAGATGGGAGAGGGACAAAAAGAGGAACATTAAATATAAACATGTTTATTGCCAGGCAACAGTGAGGGAGGGGGCTTTGGATATAAAGGAAACAGAAAGTTAAATGGCTACTTGTTGAATACTAAACACTGCATCATAATGAATAAAACGGACATTGAACTTAAACTTGTGTGTTTCCTTCTTTACCTCTTTGTCGATCTTTAAAAGCTTCTTCACAGCCACCTCCTTGTCCTGGGACATCCACAGGGCTCTGTAGACGCTCCCAAAGCTGCCTCCTCCACAGTTCTCATAGAACAGCAAGTCCTCATGCTTTATCTGTACAAACGACGAGCCAGGGGACGACATGGCATACTGACTCACACACACTCGAGCACACACATGGACCCACGCAACACTAAAAAAGAAACAAATAAAAAGATAGTACTCTCAACTCACAACCGCTGCCTACAACTGGATCCAAATCATGGATCAGCAAAAAAGGGTGAGCGATAAGAAAAGAAGTAAGGCAGGGTAGTTTCCTTCCTCGGGGCTTGGAGTGAGTGGATGTTGTCAGTCAGCTGAACAGATTGTCAGACAGGAGAAACCAGAGAGTGCTGGAAAGAGCGAGAGAGAAAAGTTTTTTCCCTGTGAGTCAGGACCAGGAGGCTGTCACTGTTGGACTAAGTGTTACATTGCCTGGTAGTGGTGATTCAGTGCAACTACAATGCTGACTGCACCGTGTGACCCAAACACACACACACAAGCTTAGAGATGAAGGAGATGATTAAGATTGTGTTGGGTGCCTTCAGCAGACACTGTTCAAATACGGTCACTGGCATGCAGGGCATTCCTCCTTCCTAAATAGCTGTGTCTATATAAAGCTCTCCACACACGCCGCACACGCACAGCTCTGCCCTATAGTGCGCTTGACATACTAAATTAGTTAGTAACGAGACTGACTGCCACAGATACTTCACTCCATCGCTCAGGCACTTTGCTGCTAAAAACATACACCCCCCACAGAAGCCACACAGGGACAGCGTCTCACTCAACCAGACAGGAACCCTGACATCATCATCATCAGGATAGTCAGAATGACATCATCGCATAGGGACAGGTGAGGTCTGCCGTGGGAATCAAATACGCACTCAAAGAGCATAGAGCAACACAGACACTCCAGAAGGCGTCCTGGAGAATGCACCAGATTTATTTTGCAGCTTTAGATAAGCGGCAAACTTTATTTGCTACTCCTCCTCCAGTTCTTCATGAAGTCCCATAAAATCCAGCTTGGGTTGGTTTAATGCTGGCGGAAAAACTGCCTCAAATCCTAAATTGGAAAAGAAATAAAGCTGTAAATTTTGATCTGATTGTGATGGTGACAAGCTGAATAATTATCCTGCAAATGTCCCATCGTTACTGTTTTAGACACAGACTGAATGCATCAAATTTCATTTTGTTTGGTCAGCTAGACTTTTTGTGTGCATAAAAAAAATGGCTTGAAGTGAAACAGGCAAACAGCCAATTTCTGCTCGTGATTTTTTTTATAGCTGCTAGACTGTCGTCTCTAAGAATTAACCCGTTCAGACGCACTCTAATTGTAACTGTTAGTCAAGACGTTCCAGCCGGTGTCTCTACTCACCTTCATAAACATCATCCTCAAAATCAGTGTGAACAGATCCCAATAATGCATTAACGCTGATAAATTAGCTTTTTTTTTTATTTACAAGGCGGTCTACACATAAAACACGGTTCACAGGCAGCTTTGGGGAAAGCCAGCCTCGCACATCATCACAGCAAAAGCTCCTGAGCTCAAAAGAAAAATGAACAACACACTCCAAATCTACAAATACAAAAATAAAATCACACGGACCGAATATGACAAGTGCTCTCCTCAAACATCAGTTTATCTTCAGACTCTAAATCTATACATCGGTCCCAATGAAATGATGTTTTATTGTTCAGCTGATCTCAGAACAGATCAAATCAAGCACTGCCATCATTCAGAGTCGTTTACGTTTGTAGCTGCGCACCAACAAAAACAGATAATACTGCAGGGATCATTTTAAACACTTTTCATAATCCCACATGGGTTGTAATTATTCTAATACATGGTTATTTAGATTTGAAGTGTCTAGTTAGCAAATACTGATTCTTACTCATCAAATCCTAGATATTTCAGAAACTTTGATTATAATTTAGATTATAATGTAAATGCATACTCTTAGAGTTCTGTAACATGGAAAAGGAGTCTCAGACTTTACACTTTTGTGGGTTTTTCCATGAGTTGGGTCGTCAGGTTTGTTCAACAGCCAGTTATTGTAAAATAGGACTCCTTTCGGGGAACACAACAGTACAGGACTCTCTGATAGAAATCCATTGTATAGAACACAAAGCCTATGGAACTCTGTAACTCAGTCATGCAGGATATTGATTCACGTTCTATACATTATAGTTCTATCTAACAGGTCCAAAACAGTAACAACCGGAACAAAACGAACCATCAGTCCACGAGCCGTGACACAGCGACGAGAGCAGCTGAACACTTTCTGTCTGTCCAGTAGGAAGAGGCTTTTAATGGCACAGTAGAAGTCCTTGATCCATGATAGCCCACGTTAGAGATCAAGTCACTGCTGGGATTTGCTACTAAATATCCTTTCTTTAGTTGTTTAAAACAGTTAATGTGTGTGTTGTTTTTGTATAATGCGAACATCACAGAGAAGGTGGAGGCGGTGGAAGATTTGGAGCTCATGTCCGCCGAGGCTCCAGCCTGTAGGAGAGCTGCGTCAGCGCCCGCTGGTTGTCAATCACGCAGAGCTTCCGAACATAACCTCGTACCTCTGCCTGGTTCTTATTCGGCTGGCAAATGTCAGGATCTAACAGACCAGATAGACGAGACAGAACAGAAAAAGGGAAGTTTGCTAACAACACATTTGTAATTATACATGCATTAACGAGTACTACTGTTTGATATGAAGACTTACTGAACGGCTGGCTTCTACAGTGCCTCACTTGTCGAATTGTGTTTGCTATAATACGCTAAAGGGACAAAAATGACTTTAAATGTTATGTGAAAAGGCAGAAAATCAGTATAAAGCACACTCCACCAAAAGGTTTAATTTCTCTTTGGGTTTGCATTGGAAAGGAACTCACCATTTTCTCAAAATTCACCATGTTGTCAATGAAAGTCTTGTTGCCCTCGTGTGTAAAAGTCATATCTGTAAAGAAAGTCCTCCATTAGTTACACATTAAATGATCCATTGGTGTTACATGAAGTGATATAAAACGTTTGGTGTAAATGAAAGAGAACTCTGAAGTTCAGCATGTCACCTGACAGCTGTGTTTCAGTGCTGGTGTGCACTTATCACAGATAACAGAGGCGCCATATATTTCTGCTCCAGGCTACACTGAAACACACCTTTGAGCAGCAGAGGCATGAAGGGGATGATCGGCGACTCCAGCTTGGTCACAGTCAGTCGATAAGACCGGTGGTTTCTTGACGGGTCCTGCCATGAAACATGTTGGCAAATTTCAGGCTGTACAGCCAAGCTGAGGGGTTGCTTTGTTTTAGTTGCTTCAGGTGTTTACTGCATCTTTCAGTACAGCACCAGTAAAGATTTTGTTCATTCAATCATTCATTCAACCATTATTTGTACAAGTTAGTCTCATTGAGCCTTGAGGACTCATTTACAAGAGAGACCTGATTTAAATAAAAAACACAGATGAGGTACAAACAACAATAAACAATAATTAAAAAGTATATAAAATGAAAATGTAAATACAAGAAGTGAAAAACAAATTATGATGATGGAGGATGATGGTTTGATGGATGGATAGATGGACGGATGTTTGATTAGATAGATGAATGTTTGGTTGGATGGATGGCTGGTTGGATGATGGAAGTTTGGTTGGCTGGATGTTTGATTAGATAGATGAATGACTGTTGGATGATAGTTGGATGTATGTTTGTTGGATGATGGTTGGATGAATGGATATTCAATTGGATGGATGATTGTTGAATGGATGTATGATGGTTGGATGGTTGGTTGGATGGATGATAGATGGTGGTTGGATGGATGTTTGTCTGTATGGATGATGGTTGGATGTTTGGATGGATGGATGTATGGATGATGCTAAGGATGTGATGATTGGATGATGGTTGGATGGATGGATGATGGATGGATGTTTGACAGGTTGGATGGATGTTTG